AGTGCTAACTAGTCTCTGTCACTAAGGGCTAATTTGCATTTTCTTGAATTATTATATACATGCTTTTATTAAATTCTTTCACACATGCTTTTGGACAGTCTCTGCTTATTTTTATTGTTCACTGCACAGACTGACTTGGGTTGGTGTGTAGTCTGTTTCCTTCATTCCCTTTAAAGCTGAGCAAAATTGCCTTGTAGGGATGCTCCAGATTCGCCTCACTGGCAGAGGTGAGGATTGAACATGTTTGGATAGACTGTTCACCTAAAAACTATTTGAGGGGACCATACCTGGTGATGTTCAGGCCTTATACCTGGCTCTGAACTCAGGGATCACTCCTGGAGGGGTTGGGGAACTGTATGGGATTCTGGGGATTGACCCTGGGTCGGCCATGTGCAAAGCAAGCACCCTGTACTCTCTCCAGCCCAGTCCCATTTATTTTTGATGATTCTCACTACAATTTCATCATTTTCTCCATGAGGATCCTCAGCACCAGCTGTTGGAGTTGAACCTGGGTTCTTCTTGTATTTTGCGTTTGTGTTAATGTCAATTAGAAAATTATAAAAATGTGTCGCCCAAAAAGTAAATTATACTTTTTTATTATTCCCCTGGGCTGGAGAGATAGCACAGTGGTAGGGCATTTGCCTTGCAAGCAGCCAACATGGCTGACCCAAGTTTGATTCCTTCGCCCCTCTTGGAGAGCCTGGCAAGTTACCAAGAGTATCTCGCCCGCACGGCAAAGCCTGGCAAGCTTCCCGTGATGTGTTCGATATGCCAAACACAGTAACAATTGTCACAATGGAGACATTACTGGGCCCGCTCGAGCAAATCGATGAACAACGGGAGGACAGTGACAGTGACATTATTCCCCATTTTCATTCATGGGTGACATTTTTGGTCTACCACATGGATTTTGCAGTGTCTTGTCTGCATTGGCTTAGAACTTTGTGGAATGTTAGTGATTTAGCTTCACAAGTCAGTGTGTGGACCAGTATCATAGGATCTCTAGGCATCCCAGAGACCCTCTGTCCTCTCACTTGCCCTCATTCCAGGCACCCTACTTCTGGCCCTCACTTCACCTGGCATGGCCACTTCTCCAAGGACTTCTGAGGGCCTCACAACTCAGATGCTTTTGGAATTTTCCTTGAACCGCATTTTTGCTTTTGTCCCCATTACGGTGGCCCTCAGTGTCCTGTGCCTTGGGGGAAGCCCACCATGAGACTGAAAAGGGTGAAAAGCTGCCCAGTTGTTGCCAGCCTGGCCCGACGGTGTGCAGAGCACAGCAGGTGCTTTCGGACTTCAGCTGGAGCCCTTCCAGAATGTCAGCACTCTGGTGTGGGTAAGTGTAGACCTGGAGAGAAGACAGTGCCCAGCCCCACTGCAGCCCCGAAGGAAGCAGCACAGTGTGTGGGCCCTGCTCCACCACCCCAGAAAGGGTGGTCTTGGCCCAGCTCTGGAGAGCGGGATGTTCAGGGGGCTGCTGCCTGGTGCCCCTGCTAGCCTGCATGCATATAATGGCCACAGGCGCAGGAGTAGAGGCCCTGCTTGTGCAACCCCATGGCACTGTTCCCATGGGCTCCTGAGGCTGTCGCCCACACTGGGCAATGGAGGTGTCTCCAGGGGAGGCTCTGTCTCTCTGTCCTGAGAGGCTTTCCCTGGCTCACTGGCCTCCGAGTAGCAAGGCGGGCAGGGACTGCTGTGACCCCAGAAAGGCACAGTTGGGCTGGATATTTTATTCACTTATCAGGAACATTCACTTATCAGGTATCACCCAAGTGTAATTTACAGACCTTAGGGGCCAATTAGCATACACAAATTCATAGTTCAAGGTTTCCTTTTTCTTTTTTACAAATGTTACAAATGTACATCCATTGTTACAATATTGCCATTCAGTCATGCTTGTTACATACTTTCACTTATGAGTTACTGTTAGCTCATTTGCTTAGAAAAGGCTAGGCATTAACTGGGCACTGCTGGGAGTTGTTCTCTGCAAACTGATGGGTGCACTGCAGAGCCAAGACCCAGTGTCTGTTCGAGACAGGCTGGGGCTTGCATGTGTGTGGCAGTGATGCCACCCTGCAGCAGTGAGAGGTGGGCATCCCTCTGTCCCTGCTGGTGTCCCTACCTGTGGGAGGCTGCATGGGCTGGTAGAGACAGCACACACCTGGGACTGAACAAGGTCTTGTGTCACTCCCTCTGGACCCCAGTGCCAGCAGCATCAGCAGGCCTGCGAGCCCGAGTGCCAGGGCATGAGCCTCAGGTGCATGTGCACAGTTCCACGGACTCCGAGCTGGGACCTGGGTGTGCAGCAGCAGGCAGAGTGGATAACAGGAGAGGGGCAGCAGTGAGAAGCAAAAGGTACCCCAGATTCCTGGAACCGAGGTCCCCACACCACCTGCTTCCTCGCCATGTCCTTCACCTCCCTAAATTCTGGGGGAAGCTGAATGGCACCAACACCACCTAGCTCCAGATCCACAGCGTCCAGCACGCGGCAGTCAGGACCATGGACAGTGCTTTCCATTCCCTCTTCCTGTCCTGTCCCTGCAGGCCAGCAGCAGTGGGGCCAGGGCCGAACTTGTCTCTCTGGTGCAGTCTGGAGCTCTCCAGCCTTCGGGCTCTCCTGACCACTGCAAATTCCAGCTCAGAGCGGGGAAGGCCTTGGGCACAAGCACCCCCTGACTGTGGGGTCCAGGCTGGGAGACAGACCTGGGTGGGGCAGCAGTATCTCGAGGGCCGAGTGTGGCACTGGGGGGCTATGGCAAGCAGAGGCGTGTGCACGAGAAGAAAGACTTCTAGCTTCCCTTTGGTTTCTATTAGCAGGCGAGATTTATTGTATTTTGGGCTGATCAGACATGATTTTATTAAGAGGAATTCTTAAAAACGGGTACTTAAGTTTTCCTTAAACTAAAAAAATGGCTACTTTTTGAGTTTCAAACATTTTTAAAAAATTCTTTAAACAAGATACTATATAGACACATCTTGAAATTTATAATCTAAAAATAGGATTTTAGCAAAATACTCTACTCTATCCTGGGCTTCGCTAGACCACGAGGCTCCTGTGTATGGCTCTCCCGGTGTGATGGGCATAGAGGGAGCAGTGGGCACTGCTCACGAGGACAGCTCTCAGTGCGAGGGGGCCAGGTGCAAAACTGAGCTGCGTTTGCTCAGAGGGAACCTGACGGATGTGCCATTTGGAGGAATGGGACTCATCTCGAAACCAGAGTGGTATGATAAGTGGGTCTGGATGCAAGAAACACAGGGACAGAAAAGCAGGACCTGCAGATACTTTCCAGGGCAAAAACGAAAACCAGAGAACCCCAAACTGCACCCTGGGCAGTGAGGCCTGGCGAGCTGGACTGGAGAGGAACAAGACCCACGGGCCTCCTCTGAGCCCAGTACCAGGCCTGGGAGAAGGCCAGGACCTTGTGCAGGCTTTGGAGGCAGGTTTTATCCAGACGCTGTGTCGGGCGAGAAGGATGTGGCTGTCAAGCCAAGCAGACGTAGCACACAGAACACTGTGGGCCTACCAGGAATCAGTGGTGTGGGGAACTTGAGTTGGCCCACTACTACTCTGTGGCTTCACGCTGTCCCAGGCTTGGCACATAAAGGACGGGACAGAACTTGTCCCTCCTGATGACTGGGCTGCTGAGGGCTCCAGTCTCTGGCCAACGTGTCCCTCCCTGCGTGACATGGCTGTTATCTCATGGCCTCCACTGGTCTGTCTGCAGTCAGGCCTCTGCTCATCCATGTTTCTGCTCTGCTTCTTCTGTGCCCAGAGCTGGGGGCTGCCCATGGGATACCCCAGGCTCCACGAAAACCTTCCTGCCACCCACCTCCCCTTCTGACTTTCCTCCCTCTGGCCTGCGGACCTCACTGTGGGACAAGAGGGTGTGGCTTGCTCCAGGTGCGGTTCCAGAGCCCCAAACCCCAACTGCCTTGGCCTCAGATGCAGTCAGGACCCGTCCTGGGTGGTGAGTGGCCCAGGCCTTTACTCAGGCCTTCCTGGCTGGTGTCCCTGTAGTACCATGCTCCTGGGGAGGAGGCATCGTGGAATGAAGGACCACTGGCAAAGGGAGGTGCAACAGTGGCTGGGCAGCTGAAGCTCAGGTCCACTCCCCACCCATATGTGGGCTCAGGTGTCAGAGTACCAAGGTCAGTGCCCAGGGTTTGAGGTTTTCTGAGCTGCTTCTCACGATGACACCCCGAGTGATCAGAAACGGATGGAAACTGGCCGTTAAACCGAAACTTTCCTGCTCAGTTAAGATTGCATTTGGCTTCCTCCATTTGTGTGACATTTCTACATAGTTGGCTTCTGCAAAGACATTCTCATATTTTGTGGAACTCTGTCTTAGAGAAGTCTGCTGCCGTGAGATTTTGAATTTAAAAGAAGTAGGATCTTATGTGAAGAATGAGTTGGACCTTTTACGAAGCTCCAGGAAGTTTCTATTTAAGACTAGCACTATGTGTTAGCTTGGTTTAGTCTGGGTGCCTGGCAGGGTACCTGTGCGTATGGGAAGGTGCAGCCTGGCCCTGCGGCCTCCAGATGGGGAGGTGGAGGGGGCGGTTCTCAGGATTCTCACTACCTGCTGGGGCACCCGTGCAGGGTCTGCGGCTGCTCCGGGCGCCCGCGAGAACTGGCCTGTGTTTGTGCTTGTAGTTGTGTGAGGATGGGCTAAAACCCTCGGGAGTGGGGATGGGTGGCGTGGAGGGCAGGCGGTGGGGCAGCTGGGCCCCCATGTGCAGCCACCCCAGCACTGCCCGCACTCATGAGAGCTTCACCCTGCCCTCCAACTGTGTCAGCGCTCTGGGGCCTTTTGAAGGGAAATGGCAGGGCAGCAATGACAGGCCAGCGTGCTGGCTCTGGTGAGGAGCCCATGGCTTTTCCCACCGGGGTCACTGAGACTGGGCCTGGGCCTGGGCATCGCTGGTCGGGCCTTAGGGGCGCACGAGGCTGCTGGGCACCTGGAGCAGGCGGCGTGCCCCCAGCTCGTCTCGCAGAGCACTCGTGCATTTCTGGGGCAGCAGGAGGTCGGGAGCAGAGTCCTGAGCGGCTGTAGCCACGCTGCACGCACACGCCAGGCACATGTGTACTTGCCCGGCGCAGCCTGCTCAGAGAGTCAGCTCGAAGTGCTCCTGCTCTGGGGGCTTCTGCACCCACGTGCCCAGGCCGGCCTTCTGGAACGCTCGGAACAGCTGCTGTTTGACCGCCTGGTAGGTACACGCCCCCGACTTGGCCTCACAGTACAAGGATGGTGTGTCTGCAGGGTTTGGGATCCGTGGGCTCAGCTGTGGGGTACAGAGGACACAGGTCAGCACGCGGACAGCCTCACGGGTACCCCCGGGCACACATGCACGTGCCCCGTGCAGTCGCCTACACACACAGCCTGGCTGACACATGTACCACACGCACAAGATGGGTGGTGGCAGGGGCACTCATCCCAGTTTCTGCGAATGGCGTCCCTGGCACAGCTGTGTGTGGTGTCATATCAGTGCTGCCTGTGTTGGGTCGGGGAAGGCAGGGCAGCACACCCCACCCCTCCCCCCTCCCGCAGAAATTGGGACTGAGACTGAACAGGGATCTCCTCTTCAACACTGGCATACTTGGGCATTTCCTTGTGAGTTGATTGCTCGCTGAGAACCAGGAGGGCTGCAGGGGGCACAATGGGGGTCTATGTGCAAGTTGGGGTCAACCAACAGACACTGGACATGGGCCCACCAGATTTCACAGCCCAGGTGGGTGGGCCAGTGCTTCCTGAGCACACACAGCTGTCTGAGCCCACCTCACGTGATACTGCTGGGTGTCTGCTCTGACCTCACAGCCCAGCTTCCAGGGGCACCGAGGGTTGTGCTCGCCTGGCTCCTCTTTGCCCAGATGAGAGCCCAGATGTGTGACCTGTGGTGTCTTACTGACCCCACGACTGTGCTGGTTTCCTTTCAGTCTGTGCTATTGAACCAGGGTACTCCTCTCTGCCCCAAGGCCTCCCTGCCAGGGCTCCCTCTCCAGGGCCCCTTGTCATGCCAGTGTGCAGAAAGACACACTTCATGTAAAGCTCAGAAATGACGTCATTATCTTTGAAAAAGCAGGAAATGTGCTCAGAACCACTGGTGAACTACATTGGGACTGGGGAAAAATGAGTTTTGGGCGCTGCCTCTGACTTCACCATCTGTTTTCATGGGGGGCTTGCCCACCTCTTCCCAGCACCCTTGTCTCTAGCCAGGGGTCTGACCTACCGGCCCCCACTGTGCCCTGTGACCCTCTCTTGGACCCAGGATGACTGGTGCAGCTGTCTTCAGTCCCAGGAAGTCAGAAAACCACCCAGAACCTCTACTTACCTTCCCATACAGACGGGCCCAGCGTGCGGAGAGCTCATGTTTGCAGAGCCGGGACGGGGCCCCACAGCTCCTCCTGCCTGTGGTGGCATCCAGGACCTCCACGTCAGCTGCTCCGGCCACCCAGTTCATGCTGAAGTGGGGAGACTTCCCTGGCTGACGTGCTTCAGTATCACTCACTCCTGGGGAGACAGGCAGGAGCAGCAGGCATCAGCGGGTTCTTCACTAAGGCTGCGGGCAGGAGGGGGGCGGAGCTGTGGCGGGGCTTTGGACAGGAAGTGGCAGTGCTGTGGTGGGGGTCTGGGAGTTTATGGCAGGCAGGGCCCTGGCAGTGAGGGCTGTGGCAGAGCCCTGAGCAGAAGGATGGGAAGCAGGGCTGTGGCAGGCAAGGCTGTGGTGGCCCCTGGCAGATCCCTGTGCTTGGAAGTGGGAGTGTGCAGAGATCCTCGCTGCTGGCCATGCTCTGGCTGCTATTGAGGTTGGGTTTGACTTACAGCTGAATCTTGCTCAGGAGAGCTTGCTCTAGAAGGCAGTCATCGGAGGGCACCTGTGTGCTGGGCACCATGCAGGTCCCGGGTGTGTGGGGCAGATGCTCGGGGATGGCTGCTGCCATGGAGACCTAGGGTCAGAGTCTAGGTGATGTCAAACCTCAGGCAAGTTAGACGTACCTGAGTTAGACACACTCAGTCAGTGGGCTGAGTGGGCTGTGCTCAGTCTGTGAGAGCTGGGTGAGACATACTCATTGAGTGAGAGCTGGGTGGGACACACTCACTGAGTGAGACACTCATTGAATGAGAGCTGGGTGGAACACGCTCACTGGGAGCTGGGTGGGACACGCTCACTGAGTGAGACACTCACTGAATGAGAGCTGGGTGGAACATGCTCATTAAGTGAGAGCTAGGTGGGACACGCTCACTGAGTGAGAGCTGGGTGGGACACGCTCACTGAGTGAGAGCTGGGTGGGACACGCTCACTGAGTGAGAGCTGGGTGGGACACGCTCACTGAGTGAGAGCTGGGTGGGACACGCTCACTGAGTGAGAGCTGGGTGGGACACGCTCACTGAGAGCTGGGTGGGACACGCTCACTGAGTGAGAGCTGGGTGGGACACGCTCACTGAGAGCTGGGTGGGACACGCTCACTGAGTGAGAGCTGGGTGGGACACGCTCACTGAGTGAGAGCTGGGTGGGACACGCTCACTGAGTGAGAGCTGGGTGGGACACGCTCACTGAGTGAGAGCTGGGTGGGACACGCTCACTGAGTGAGAGCTGGGTGGGACACGCTCACTGAGTGAGAGCTGGGTGGGACACGCTCACTGAGTGAGAGCTGGGTGGGACACGCTCACTGAGAGCTGGGTGGGACACGCTCACTGAGTGAGAGCTGGGTGGGACACGCTCACTGAGAGCTGGGTGGGACACGCTCACTGAGTGAGAGCTGGGTGGGACACGCTCACTGAGTGAGAGCTGGGTGGGACACGCTCACTGAGTGAGAGCTGGGTGGGACACGCTCACTGAGTGAGAGCTGGGTGGGACGGGCTCGGTGAGTGAGAGATAGAGGAGCAGCCCTTGTGGCAATGCCAGAGCCAACAGCACTTGAGAGAGATAACTCATGCAGCTGTGCTGAAAGGGTCCAGCCCACGTGCCCAGGAGGAGGATCTTGTTCTTTTGGGGTTTCTTGCATTCACACTGTGGTTACCCTTTATTTGTTTGTTGATTAAGCCCTAATCATCTGGCAGTGCTTAGGGCTTGCTCCTAGCTCTGTCAGGGATTACTCATGATGGGGATCAGGGGGTGCCCATATGGAGTGCTGGGAATGGAACCCGGGTTGGCTGTGTGCAAGGCAAGTGCCCTTTCTGCTGTACTATGGCTCCGGCTGTGGGGTTGGCCTTTAAATGAACAGTGGGCCTCTTCTCAGCTGCTAGTGTGAGCTGAGCCTGCCCTCCCCCACATCTTCACCAGGGAGCTGGTCTGGACATGGACAGGAGCCAGGGCGGCTCTCCCCAGACTACCTGTGAAGGATGTGACTCATGCCCTGGGGTCTGAATACCACCATGGCAGTGGGAGGAGAAGGGCGCGGGCAGGAAGCAGTGCAGTGTTGCATGCTGCTGTGAGGAAAGCACCGGCTTTCTCCCAGTGAGGCCACTCAGTCACCACAGCTCAGTCATTCACAGTCTAGACTGATGCCAGTGCTTATGGTGTCTCCAGCCTCTTCCTGGGCTGGCGGGTCACCTCCAGATGGAAGGCCAGGTCCCAGTGCAAGCTGAGAAAGGAGCACACTCCTGAGATGGTGGAATTCTCTGGTGCGGTGTGAGCGCACGGCTCAGTCTCTGTAAACCCATTCCTCAGAGTCACTGGCTGAAGACTAATATACACAGGTATTCTGGTGTGGGGCAGTGGTGGCCTGTGCTCTGCTTTCTGCTGCTGCCTTTGGAAACTCTGCCAGGAAATGAAGCTTTTCTCTCATCTAGAATGTGCTGCTGGCTGGGCGCCTTACCACTGGGTTTGCAGGTGTGGAAATCTTGCAGGGTGTGGGTGCATCTGCTCCAGGGAAGGGTGCTCATGGCCTGCATATGCCGAAAGTGGGCCAGTGGCACAGATGGGACTAGGCAGCCGTATCCCAGAGAGCAGCCGCACTCGGTTGTTGCGTGGGGGAGGATGTAGGGAGAGGCTCCCCACACTGATTCCTGCCACTCTCTGCACTTAGGCCACCTGCAACCAGGCAGGAGAGCCCACAGGACGCAGGACAGTGGCATGGACCTAGCCACATTGCCTCTGTCCAGAGCGCAGCCTGTCCCAGCCTCCTGATCGCTGTTAAGTGGGCGAGCTGGCTAGAGCCCCCCAGTTTGCCTGCCTCGAACTGCCCTGAGGGGATCTCTTACCGCAGAGGAGGGGCCAGTTATGCCGGTAGGAGGCTGGCAGTGGACCGATGTCCCCAATCCTGTGACTCAGCACCCGGGAGAAGTGGCCGGTGTGGCGCAGGCCACCCACGATGATGCTGTGCAGGTACACGGGCTCGATGAAGTGGCAGAGGAGGGCCCCCTGCAGCCCCAGCACGGTCCACCTGGGGGAAACGGGTCAGCGGGTCAGCAGGGCATTCCCATGCCTCCCTGGCTGCGTACCTAGTGCCTTCCGGTGCCACCACCTGCTCCTGCATTTTGGGGAGAAAGGTGCCTCAGATACCATTGACCTTTGTCCCAGAGTCAGTCACTGCCCTCGGGCTGCTGAGGGGTTGGAGGTGGTCTCAGCTTTTGTAAAGGTAGAAATGGAGAGGACCAGACTTCCGACAGGGCATCTAGCCGACCCATAGAAGGGCACATGTGTGCCCTTATAAGGGCATGTGTGCTCTGATTGGCCAGCCTTCAGACCTTATTTGCATAAGCCATGAGACCATCTTCCAAAGAATTTTTTTTTTTTTTGCCTTTTGGGTCACACCCAGCGATGCTCAGTGGTCAACTCCTGGTTCTGCACTCAGGAATTACTCCTGGCGTTGCTTGGGGGACCATATGGGATGCCGGGGATCGAACCCGGATGGGCTGAATGCAAGACAAATGCCCTGTGCTATCGCCCTGGCTGCAAATTCTTATAAGGGCACTTGAACTCTGATTGGTTAACCCATAATGTTTTTCATTTGCATCTATGTTTGATTGGTTGTCCTAATTGAATGGCCTCATAGGTGTAACCAATCAAATAGCACACAACTGGGGGGGTGGGGGAGATGTAAATGTATATAAACCCAGGTCTCTGTATGGAGGTGTGAAGGGATGAGGTAGAGAGGTGGTGTTTGGTACGGAAGAAAGAAAAGCCACTACTGGTGAGTAGAGTGCTGTGGTGGAGAAGGGAAACAGCAGAGTTGGTGAGGAGGAGACAGGAAGGGCAGTGTGGGTTGCTTGTCCACTACCAGAGGTTCCTGTGTCTTCGGCTGTGGCAGCCTGCAGAGATATACCTGCATGAGCTGTTAAATAAAGAGCCGTGACACAGCTCATCATGAGTGTCCACAAAAGCCCACGCTGGCTGGTACCCACTATAACATCCAGATATCAATACACGCACATGGCTTTTCTGGAAAATGAGGTGTGGGATGGAGTGGAAGCTGGGGTCTCTCAGGGGCTTAAAAGAAGACTCCATCCCAGCATGCAGCTCTGAGTTGGGAAATACCAAAGGTACTTGGCTTAATTCTCCTTTGTCCTGAGCCGTCAAATAGCCAGGGAGTTGAATTATGTGCCAGGGAGCAATTTCCTGGCTTCCTTCGGGGCACAGTTTTGATTCTGGAAGCCTGGTTGGGAGGACAAGCTACTTTCCTTGGAATAAATACAGCTCATCTCTGGGCAAGGCTTTGCTTCTGTAGGCATGTGACAGCAGCATTTTTAAGGTGCTGAACTACCTCCCCTGCCCCCAATTTGGGTATGGAAAAATTACAGTGTCTTTTTTTGTTTGGGATACTTCCATTCAGTACTCCTAGTGATTCTATGACCACCAGGATGATGAGTTAATGTGAGGATCTGAGAATGAGGTACTGCTCAGGCCCTGTGGTGCTGGGGATTACCTGGACCACTTCAGCAGTGCTTAGGAGCTTCTAGAATGCAGTGTGACGAGCCTAAGCCCTGAACTCTCTCTCTCTCTCTCTCTCTAGTCCCTTAAGGCAATCCGTGTGGTTTCTACCCCAGATATGGTGTTTCTATGCAGCCCCATCAGGAAACCCCATAAGGAGCTAGCATTGATTGCAAGCCCATTTGCGACATCATTGTTCTTTTCATTAATTAACATTTTTTGTCATTAGAGCAGTGATGGGGGTCCACCATGCTCGACATTACTTTTCATGATTAATAAAGGGTCTTTCGGTTTCCCTTTCCTGAAACAGCCAATTAACACAGAATTCTCTCCATTAATTACTGAATGCTAAAAGCACGCCCTACCTGGAGAGCCGTCAACTCCCTAGCCCCTGACACCAACGCTTTAGAAAGTTCTCTTTAAATCTTATTCCAAAAACACAAGCAATTTAGCAGGCGATATTAATTTGCCTCCAAAGCATCGTGGCGAATGAGAAGCATCTTTTAATCTCATGCAAGAGGAGGCAGCCATCTGGCTGGAGAGGACGGAGCGCGACTCTTCCGTCTCCCTCCGTAAACGCAGGTCATTAAAGTAATGTGCTCATCGACATAAAGCTCAGATGGAATATAAAAGGTAATATTTATCTACAAACAATTTAGTCCTACAATTTAAACAGTCATTGGTTTTATGAAACATTTACTTTAGTCTATCAGATTTGCATAACCCCACTTAAAAAAATCACACTGTGGTCATTGCTGCCATCCTCTCACCTGGGAAGGAATGAAGGGCTGTCCTTTGGGTGCAGGCCATTGGCCCAAGGAAGAAGAGAATCTTCTGGAAGCAGCATTGGGGCTCATTTGATTTGTCTGGGGAGAACACTGCCTTCTAGCATCACCAGTTCCTCTCTGCTTGCTTGGGGACGGTTTCAGAATTGCAACAGCTCCGCATTCCCCCACCCTCTGGAGTGGGGTGGCTCCTTCCCTGGCATCTAGACCAGGATTCCTGGTAAAGATCTAGAGTGGAAAAAATCTCCAGGTCCTTCTTGCCATGGCCCTCCCTTTCAGATGGAAAGGTGGATCAGGTTCAGGGAGAGAACCTGGAAGAGAACCTTCCTTCTCTAGGAAGTTGGACATTCATTTTCAGAGCCAGCTTGGCTTGCCTGGGTGAGTTCTAGGTGGGCGCTTCTATGGAGTTGCCCTTTGCTGCTGATAGTGACGACAGCCAGTTGCTGGTGGGGTCAGACTCCAGGGCTGGCCACCTGTTTGAATCTGGCCTTTTCTCAGACAGTGAAGCTGATCAGTCTAAAGCAGGAAAACAGACATGTCTTTTCTAATGGTAAAGTGCAGATTTGAAATCAGTCAAGTCTTGAGTAGAATTTATATTCCAAGAGAGGACACCTTGCAATGCTTAGGCTGTCCAAAAACTGGTTTTGAACCAAACTTTTAGAATATCTCTGTGGGGTTCTGATTGTAAGGGCTGTCTCTCTGTCCCCACGTCTATGACTTTACAAGAGGGAGAAAAATCCTGTTTGGTCTGGCCAGAGCTTCTTAAATAGGTTGTTGACACCATCAAAGGGCTGAGTGATAGCACAGCAGGTAGGGCACTTGCCTTGCATGCAGTCAACCCGGGTTCGATTTCCAGCATCCCATATGGTTCCCCAAGCACCGCCAGGAGTAATTCCTGAGTGCAGAGCCAGGAGTAACCCCTGAGCATCGCCTGGTGTGACCCTCCCCCCCAAAAAAAACAACAAAAAAACTCAGATGTCCTGAATATTAGCTGGAGAATTTTCAGCACTTGGTGTTGAATGGAAAATACTATTGCTTTTGATCTTTCTTTAGAGAAAAACCCCACCACATCTATTTCTAGTACAAAGAATCCCAACACAAACCTTTTTTTCAGTTGTTTTCTTTTCTTGTTTTTAGGGTACACTTGGTGGTGCTCAGAGTCTACTCTTGGCTCTGCACTCAGGAATCACTCCTAGTGGGCTTGGGGGACCACGTGGGGTGTGGGGGATTCAACCCTGGTCAGCCATATGAAACGTGAATGCTCCACCCATTATACTAGCACTTTGGCCCCACAAAACTACTTTTGTCTGTCAATCATTGAAGCACCAGATGAATGAGAGTAGAGCACATGTTTCTTAAGCCCAGACAGCTATCCTTGCCTGTCTGCCTGCTCCTGGTCTCCAGCACCAATGTGCCATGCTTCTCTCCCAGAGTTCCCAGAATGTTGTGTGGACACTTGGGGATACTAAAAGAGAGAGATGACTCTGAAATCACAGTGAAATTTTCAAGGTCAGTTAGAATACACACTCGGTGCTGCAAACACACACACACACACACACACACACACGGACAAATGAAGAGCTCAGAATGAACCCACACAAGGCCACCCAATAAATGAACCACAGATGACCCAAAATGCACAGTGGGGAAGGATAGTCTCTTTATAGAAGGTGCTGGAAAAACTGGGTGGCCACATGCACAAGATATAAGCTGGATATTGTCTCACCCACAAATAGAAATGATTTCGAGTAGCCTGAAGATTTGAAATGTGGGACCCACAATTCTGAAACCTGTCAGAGAAAACTCTTCCATGTCAGTCTTGGAGATGGTTTTTTTGGACCTGACTTCAGAAGCCCAGACAATACAAAGCAAAACAATTTGGACCACATTGAACTAAAAAGCCCCTATGCAGACAAAAGACAGGATGAAAAGAGACCTTCTGAGCGGAGGAGATTATTACAGATCATGTATCTAAGATTCCTATCCAATACTGCAAGGAACATGTACAGCTTGAATGCAAAGAAACCAAAAGCCTGATCCCAAAATGGGGTTGGAGGGTGGAGTGGAAAAAGGTGTGGAGCATCACCAACACGGCAGACCAGGGTTGGGGCCCAGGCATGGTGGTGGGAATGAGGGTTGGGGTACTGCTGTGAGCAGGAGTGGGGTTCCTTGAAGTAAATGTTGAAAGTCCACACAATACATCAAGTCTGTTCTGGGAATTTAGACACAAATTTAGACACAAAGACACAAATCAGGCTCTGGAAGGGACCCCATGAGTGTGGGTATAGGAGATGTGAAGTGTCTTCACCATCTAGCCCTCATGCATCTTTAATCCATCTATCGTTGCCTGCCATCTGTCAGTCGTCTATTATGTACCCATCAGGTTCTGTCCAAGACAATATAGACCCCTGCTGTTTGCATGCACACAGGACCTCTTGCTGTGTGAGAAGTCAGATGCCTTGATGGTTGTCCTGAGCACAGATGTGGGAGCTGAAATTGCTGATGGAGCAGCAGAGAGCAGAGAAGGGGTGGCGGGTCAGGGGGCCCTAGGCGGGAAATGGGCTCTGAGGCTTGCACCCAAGGTAGGCTGCAGGGGACAAGATGGGGGCCCCTGCAAACAATTTCTTTGAACCCCTGGCATTCTCTTTCAACTCCATGAGACTGGAAGATGGCCACTGACTCTACTTCCCCTTCACAGCTGTTGTCTCACAACCAGAAACACAATCACAGCCAATGGGGAGCCAGATCCTGAACGCCTGTGGCATACAGCCCAGATGGAGAGGTCAGAGGTGATGCAGCCTGCCTGGCTGCCACACCTGCCGGACTGGCAGTCACTGATGGGCCTAGCTGAGGGTGTGTGCCCATTACAGATGCATCTGGGGCACCTACAATTCCCAGAAATGTCTCAGGATGGGCAAAGATGCCTCAACGGCCTCTGAGACCATCTCCCAGAGCAGCCAGCTGCTCCATGGGAACCAGGCTGACCAAAAAGTATGCCTCTTGGCATTCTTTTCAGCTTAAAGAATTGCTCCATCCTCCTAAGGTCCTGACTTGCCCCACTGAGTCAATGAATATTTCTCTCCATTGACACATGGCAGGTCAGCGCCCCAACAGTCAGGCACTGTCAATATCCAAGCTCATACTTCCTGCATCCTGAAGGTTCTCTAGCCTAGCCTTCTGCTGGGAGGGGTCTGGCTCAGGCTGCCATGGGTGCCCCCATGGGGACCGTATGTTAAGGGGAAACTCCCAACACTGAGGAGATTGTGGCCTGTCTTATATTATAAAGTCACTGAGCATGAAACGTGGGTGGGGCCAGGCAGTTAGGGGGAGCAGCTGGTGAGGCCCCATGCTTTGAGGCTGGAGAAGGGGTGTCTGGAGGACAGGTGGGGGGACACTCACCTTGAGGGGTGTCAGAGGGGAGCCTCCCCAGCATCTGTGGTTTTACAGCTCATTTCTGTACTGAAGCTGTAATGCGCTCACTTACGCACATACTGCAATCAATAATCGGGCACAGGCGCTCGGGACCAGGAGCCATAGCTAAAGGGACATTAGTTCCAGAAGATTTAGATTTTTATATGTCACTTTGCTCTGGCTTGTGGGGACAAAGGCAGGAGCCACCTGCCTGGGTTCTGTTCTCCCAGAGATGCTGATCTCCCAGAGATGGGGCAGGGGGGCCAGACTGGTCTCTCTGAGAACTGCCCTACAGTTGCTGAGGCTCCTAACCTCTGAGACTCTGTCCTGACTGTTCTTGTGCTCAGCGCCAGGGTGTTTTTTGAGGTTCTAAGAGGTTCTGCCTTTGACTTCAAAGACTCACCTAGGAGCCCTCCATTGTGTCCGCAAGCCAAGCCTCTGTGGTGGGCCCTAACCATGGGCCTGGCCTGGTCTCCATCCCCACCCTGGTCCCTCTGCCACTCTTCTGAGGACCCCCTCACTATATTGAACCCCCTGGCATATGCCATCCCTCCTCGCAGTCCCCTTTCCTGATACAACTTTTTCCTGCTGAGAGTGACTGCCCACGCCATTCTCTGGGATGCACCGGTGGTGAGGGGCTGAGGGGTCGTGAAAAGCCTGGGAAGACAGTGACCCTGAGTTGTACAGTTACCAGGCAGTGCTGGGCTATAAAGGTGTCAGGGCACGTGCTGTGAACAGATGCCAGTGGAGTGCAGGAGGCCAGCAGTGAACTCTGACCTGGTCTTCCCTTCTTGCCCCTCTAACCTCAGTTATTGCTGTTCTTCAGCTGAAGGGGCTCTGTGTGAGGTGGACATTGTGTAGGGGCCTCTCCACCAGCATAAGCCTTTCCCTCCCAGACAGAAGTGGTTCAGAGGTTTCTGGCTGAAGTCTAAGGAAGGCGTCTCACTCTCCACATGGCTACACAGCAAGAGTTTCCACCAAGAGATTCCAAGTCAGAAACTCTTATGCTTCAAAGAGATCATCATTTGGTTTCCTGTGAAGTATAACATAGAAATGTTTTCTGAAAGACCCAAGCTGAGGGCTGGAGGGTTGATACAGGGTTAAGGTAGTTGCCTTGCATGCAGCTCATCCCAGTTCCATCTCCTGCACCACATATGGTCTGAGCACTGATGGGTGTGGCCACATGCATTTAAACCCACGCTGAGCAGTGTACCCCTACTTCATACTTCTAGGCTTTAGGGTATCCTCCTGTGCAAGGAGCACAGCTTTCTCCTGAGGTCCAAGAGGCTTGGTCATATCTGATAGGCATCTTGTGCACCTGGGCATTGCCAGTGGACAGCTCAGGGCCTTGGACTCGGAACATATGGGATGAAGGGGCTTCACAGAACCCCTAGAGATCAGCCTGAGTCTCCCTGGGGATCCCCCAGTCACATCCTTTTCCTGATGGTAGCTGTCCAGGCAGCTGCTGGCAGGGCCCAGGCTTGAGCAGGCTCGAACTCAGATCTGGGTGGTGCTGAGCACACAGGCACACACAGGATGCAAGTCACCTCAAGATTCAGAGTCCCTGGGGGTGAGTGTTCATATGCGGTCTCAGCTGCTGGTGGATCAGGAAAGAGAGTTGGGGACTGGTACCCTCTGACTTTCGGTCATGTGCAGGTTGAACTTCCAGGACTCATGGTCCATCCCCATTTGCCCTTTCCATGCAGAGGCTGTGTGCTGGGTCTGAGGCTGCTCTTCCACTCACAGGACCTTGGTTGGTATCCTTGAGTGGCCAAGTGCAGGGACACCTCTGTCTGACTGGCTGGGGCCTTCCCATATCCTATTGTTACAGCTGCTTGTATGAATGCCAAGCCCCTGTGAGGGTTTCAGCCAGGATGGGGCTGGGGTGAGGCCCCCATCTTGAGTGGGGTCTGGGGGTTGGTATGTCTGGGGAAAGGATGGAAAGAGGAATGGGGCAGACAGGTGGGCAGAAGGCACCCACCAATACGACCCTGAGACTTGGGTCTGGGCAACAGCTTGGGAGCAGAGCTGAGTCAGGGGCTGCAGGGTCCCTCATGGTGATGTCTGGAAGCTGGAACCCTGTCCCACCAAGTTGGGGGACCTCCCAGGGAGCCTGGAGAGATCCCTGACTGGGCAGCTCTGGTAAGGGTGCAGGATCCCTAGGACCTCCCCTCCAAGGATGTGGGGGTCTCCCCTGGGCTAGTTTGGGGGTGAGCCCAGCAGGAGTTAGAGACCTCCTCTTGCCCTGTTTGAGATGCCCCTTGTCAGGGAATCTGTGCAGAGCCAGAGAGGGGGTCCCTCAGGGTGTGGGAGTGGTTTGGAGTTGGCCTGGAATCTCACCCGGGGTCCTGCTGGGATAGCTGGGCCTCTGCTGAGGCCCCCAGTTACGGAGGTGGTGCTCCTCCTTTAAGAAAGGTGCTACAGGGTCACCAGCCCTCAGTGCTCTCTCTGGCCATGGGGCACTCCATATTGTTTTTTTTAAATTTATTTTTTTATTAGTGAAACACCTTAAGGTACAGTTATAGACTTACAAACTTTTGTGCTTGGGTTTCAATTATACAATGGTCGAGTACCCATCCCTCCACCACTGCCCATCCTCCACCACCACTGATTCCAGTACCCTTCCCAACCCCCATTCCCTCCATCCCACCGTGCTATTGTGGCAGGTCATTCCTCTTTGTTCTCTCTCTACTTTTGGGTGCTGTGGTTTGCAAAAGAGGCACTGAGAGGCAATCATGCTCAGTCTACAGTCTACTTTCAGCATGCCTCTTCCATCGTAGGAGGATCCTCCTAACACCCTTTATTTGGAGGGCATTCAATATTGTGGGGTGGGGAAGTGGGGCCTGAGAAAGGGGGCCTTTGCAGGTGTGTGCAGGACCCCGAGGAGCACCAGGCAGCAGCACCTGTGGAGCCACATCAGGATCCTGGGGTTTGCCGGGACAGGAGCCTGTGAGGCTCATGGCCACTCTGGCCCAACTGGGAGACTGGGTACAGGGATGTTACCTGGCGATCTTGTCTGTGCAGCTCATGGTGACCAGTTGCTCGCCCAGCAGGACACCGTCCCATGCCTGGACTGTGCTGGCGGCCCGCACGGGCACAGTGCCCTCCCCGGATTCGATCTTGGTGCGCAGGTGCCCACGGAGCTTCCTGACCAGGTGTTTGCTGCCGCTCACTAGGAGAGAAGAGATGGCATGAGGCAGGGTTAGGTCCACAGATGGGGCAGCAGGCTAAGAGGCAGGCACATCATATAGGCCTGGTCCCTGTGCCCCACTGTGGGCCCCGCCTAGTGCCTTGGCATCACCACTATTCCTTCCTTTTACAACAGGTTGTGGTGTGCCTTCTCGCCTGGGCTTTGGGACTTGGTATGCAGAGCTGACAGTGGCATTACCCAGGTCCCACAGGCAGGTCCTCACCCACATTATCCCTCCTTCCTTCTAAAGCCCCTGTGACACACACCACACCCCATAGCTTTCTGGGAAACTAGCATGAGGAGAAAGGCGAAACATTTCTTTAAAGAGGTTTGGTACTTTAAGTCTAAAAATGGTTGGGTCTTTGCATACAAATACATACATACACAGTAGCACAGTGCTTCTAACATTTTTCAGAATCATAGGTATGATAAGGGTGAAATGCTTTAGTTTTAGGAAGTGTGGAAATGAGATCTTACTAATTTGTCTTCAGTGAAGGCATCAGAGAATAAGTACCATGTGATTTTACCTGGGAACCAGTGATTTCCAGTATATTTTACTCTGGTTTTTAAGAAATGAAGTTCTTTACTACACATTTTCAGTGAAAACCTTAAAGTCATTTCTTGGGAAGAAAGAGAGATGCTGTGTTTCTTGGAGAGAGACAACTTGGAGAGCTTTCAAATGATTATGTCTGCACCTGTTTCTCTGTCCATCTGTTTGTCTGTCTCTACCCTGGCACGAAATGCTGCTCCTTAGCAGGTGGATGCAGCTGAAGGACTCTCAGGGGCAGAGCATTTCTGAGGGTTAAGTGCAGTGTGCCCAGTCCCACACAGAGCCCACCCACTCTTACGCTCAGCTGTGATCTCATAGGGTGAGTGCAGCCGCGCATCTCCGCAGGGGGATGAGCTCACGTAGAGGTGGAACAACACCTGCTCCCGCAGCCTGTAGCCTCCCTCTTCCAGCCGCACAAAGATGGAGCGCTCCTGGTCCTCACGCTGCCTGCTGGGATGCAGAGAGGTGGGTCACTGACAGGCACCCCCCTCCCCTGGAGTGGGGCTGTGGCTCCCAAAACCTCTCTCTTGCAGCCCTCTCAGCTGCCTCAGTGGTTATGGCTTCTCTGTCTGTGTGTCTGTCTGCCTCCCTTTTTAAGGCTTGGCCAATTTGGGGGCCCACAAGGGAAGTCTCTCTTTTACTCAACTCCAGGAAATGGGTAAGGCTTAAGCAGACTGGAAGGATGCCCATGTGCTCCTGAATTAATTCCAGGACCCCCTGAATCCTGATTCCAAGGGGCTGTTGGGATATGTACTCTGGGGAGGGTCCCAAGGGCAAAGTCCTTGGGTCCTGGGTCCTTATTTCCAGGGAGCCTCTACCTTCCCTGGGTGAGGACCTGCTCCCCACTGGCAGCCTGGCTCAGCCTCTGCATGTCTTGTGCTGCACAGGGCTCTGCTCTGGGGTCTGCTGACCACCAGGGTTGGGCCCATCCTGTGGGGTGTGTGCAGGGAGATGGGGCTCTGCGAGTGAGGAACAGGTATCATGCATCCGTGTGTATGCCTGGCAGGTGCAGTGCCTGGCAGGTGAGGAGTGGGCCACAGACTCCTGAGGGTATAGGGGAGGGCACACGGTGGCGGGCGTGGGGGGCGCTGCACTCACCTCAGGTGCAGCTCAAGCTGGGCATACAGGAAGTGTAGTAGTGCCCTGCGGGCCAGCACCTCAGCATGACTGTCATTCACCACTAGTCCCTGGTCGCTGATGTACTCGCCGCTGATGCACTTGGTTCCTGAGGATACCACCACCACCTGTGCTTGCCGGATGTCCAGGCCTGGGGACACAGAGGTGTCAGCAGCGGTCATCCAGGTCTGGGGACACAGGATCTGCCTCTTGTCTGCCTTTAGCCTTTGCTTCAGGGCTGTGATAGGGAAGTTCCCACCTGTATAACCCCAGATCCTCCCACAGGAGGGGTCTAGGCCAGTCAAGGAGTGCAGGTGTCCTGGGTTAGTGGGGATGGTGCAGGATGGTGGAGCCCCAGGTCTGCACCTTGAAAATGTGCTTGTATGGAGGGGGTGCTGTGTGTGCCCCCAGTGCTTCCTGTGAGGGGCGTGTCCTGCAACTATGAAACACCTGGGTTGTCTCTCAGCCCCCTTCCCCTAATCTGCAGTGAGATGGGGGAAGGTCATGCTGAGAAATGGGAGTCAGAGGTATTGGGGAGGAACTACAGGAAATCCCTTTCCTCACTCTAAATCAGGATATAGGTGGTGTAGATGGGGACATGTGACAGCCTGTACCCTCACCCTCCTCAGAAGCTGTGGAAATGGCCACTGTGGATGGAACAGTGCCACTCACTGTCTCCCACACCTCCAAACTCTGTTGACTCTGCGGGAGCAACCAAGTCTGGTGAGAAATGTGTGGTTACTCTCCACGTCTTGTCATTGCCATCGGGTTGGTGGCAAAGTCCCATGGTACAGGGTCCTGAGACCCAGTGATAGCAGGAGACTGAGGGCCCATTGCCCGGTGAGTGTCTTGCCCCCTGTTCTGCAGAGACTCCAGTGGAGTCCTGATGGAGTGGGTGGCTGTTGCCTCCCTCCCATAACAGATGCTCTGAGCTGGGCAGTAAAAGGGGGCACTGCAGGAGGGAGAACAGCCAATGTCCATAACTAGACAGAAACATAGTCAGGGGCTTCGTTGCCCACTCTAGGGACCCAGTCACTTGCAGGAGATTCTGCAGACCTTCATTGAAGGTGCTCTGGAGTGCCCTGGGGTGGGGTCCTTCCATACAGTTTGGCCCTGAAATCCTCAGTATTCCCAGCCTGGACAAGGTTGCAGCATAGGCCACAGACAGAGATGAAGCCTGGGCTACCCACGCCCAGGCTTCCCTGCAGGCTGGGCTCGTCCAAAAACACAGAAAGCTAGTGAGATAGAAAAATAATGATCACCACAGAGAAGTCAGCCAAGAAATCCCAACCTGTGCTTTCAACAACACTGCAAAATGGGTGCCACGGCTCCTTGAAGCTCTTGAGCACCTGCTGGTGGCCTGCCACATGGGGACTCGCTGACTTGAAGCTTCAATCAATGAGAGAGGAAGAACTAAAGCTGGAACAGCTGGACAGAAGCAGCTATCATTTCTGTGAGTGAGTTTACCATGAGGGGACTGCTCAGCAGAGCCTGACTAGAATCTGCTGGGAATAGTCAGTGATAGGCAGTCAATCCACCGAGAGAAGCAGGTCCCACATGCACATCCTGGCAGGAGCAGACAAGGGTGCAGCAGTCAATTCAACAAGCAGTGAACCAGGAGTCTAACCAGTGAAAAGTTAAGAGACAGAACGCGTGCCCTAGCAACTGGGAATCCAGATGCCAGGAAGCCGCGAGCTCCCATCACCTCTGAACTGACTGAAGACAGCCATGTGCTCTAGAGAGCCCAGGCTCCAGGCTCACAAGCACATTCTTCTGTTTCTAAACCATACAAGCAGATGCTAGTGAGGGCTGGGAAGCCTGAGTCCAGCTTCAGGGACTGGGAACTGACCACAGGAGCCAGTGAGGCTGTGGGCACTGAAGTTACGGACACTGAGCAAGAACATCTGAATCAGGAAATCCCTTGCGGGATGTGGTGGTTCAGGGATTTCAGATAGACATGGCTCGGAAAGGCCTTCACACTGTGGTTCAAAATCCCACATCAGTAAAAGTTAAACCAAACAGCACTGTAGCACTGTCCTCCCATTGTCTTTGTTCATCGATTTGCTCGAGCAGGCCCAGTAACGTCTCCATTGTGAGACTTATTACTGTGTTTGGCATGTCAAATACGTCACGGATAGCTTGCCAGGCTTTGCCGTGCGGGCGAGATACTCTCGGTAGCTTGCCGGGCTCTCTGAGAGGGGTGGAGGAATCAAACCCGGGTTGGCCGGGTCGGCCGGGCTATCCGCTGGGCTATTGCTCCAAAACAAATACTTAAAAGTAAAAAAGCACTGGGGTCCTGAATAATAAATTGCACAGCAGGTAGGGTGCTTGCCTTGTACACGGTCTACCGGATTTGGTCATGGGCATCCCCTATCCCCTCCAAAGTGACTCCTGAGCACAGAGCCAGGAGTAGGCCCTGAGCACTGCTGGGTATGGCCCAAAGATAAAACAAAAAAGTGAAAGCATAACTGCCTGGCAAGGCAGCTTATTTTATTACTCTTTCTGAAAAACTGGGGATTGAACCCAGGGCCTCACACCTGCAAGACAATTTCTCTACTGCTGAGCCACAGCCATGCCCCTAAAATTGTTAAATTGATCATTGAATTCAAATGCATAACAATTATGCATCTCAGCATATTAGGCATCATTAACGATAGTAAAAAATTCAAGTAAAGTGAAGACTTTCAATTTCTAATATAGAGCCCTCACTAAAATATGAAGAACCAGAAATAAAAAATGTAGGTACTTGGACAGAATGGGGAAAAGTGAATCAAAATAGTTCTGTGAACAAAAATACAAACAGCTCTGTGAACATGGGCCAACCTTCAGACTCACGCATAAGGAACCACGTGTGACTGAGTCAGAGCAGCCTGCCTGGTATTCCTCTGGGAAACTGTTGCTGAGGGGCGCATCCAGGCAGCATGCATGTGTGATAGCTTGGTATGTACCCCAACCTACACCACTGCTTTCGGGATGTTCTTACCTGGAGCTGCACACACAGTGCATCCACGCATATCTGTGATTGATGTGGAATCAAGACCGAGTCACTTCTGGTGGGCCATGAGGGATCGTATGTGGTGCCAGGGTTCAAACCTGGGTCACTAGGATACACTGCAAGTGTCTTAACTCCTGAACTATCCACCCCCTTTTCTTTTCTTTCTTTCTCCCCCCACCATGTTTATGCTAGTTTAGGTAATATGGCTGGAACAGTGTTGAAGTTTGACACTGATATACAAAATCACTGCACCGAACTCCATCAAAGTACCTGAGACCCTCCACCACAGTCCCAGTGTCACCTCTAGTCCCATTTTCCCTTATTCCCTTCTGTGCCCCCACTTCTTGGGAATGGTTTTGTAATCCAAGGCTGCGGATTTGTCATTGGTTGGTACTGTTGACCCCCGCCTTATTTTGCCTGAGTACATTCCACAGACCATCTGGTGTGTCCTTCTCCCTCTGACTTTCTTTACTTGGCATGATGCCTTCCAGTTCACTCTCTGTTGCAGTGAACTGCCTGCTTTCCTCTTTTCTCGATGCTGCATAGTGTTTTACTGTGTAGACAGACCACTGCTTCGCGGGGTAGGGCATTGTTTCCGCAGGTATGCATGTAGCTTCTTGAGTTAGTATCTACAGTGTGTGTCCCCATGCAGCTGGGCAATGGCAGTGCGGGGGCCACCTGCCTTCAGTGGAATAGGGGAGCTAAAAGCAGGAGCTCTTTTCTCACAGTCAAGGAAGCTCGGACAGGCTCAGGTCTGCGACTGGACGGTCAGTGACCACACGTCTCGAATGCTGGAGGGGAGATGAGGCCCCCTGGACAAGACACAAGCAGATGGGACTGTGGGGGCACAGGCGCAGCAGGGGTAGACTGGGGATGTGAGGCGGGGCCAGTGGCCATCAGAGCAGGTAGCAGTGGGAAGACATGGGCCCACCCCGGGCACATAGTATGCAGGGAATGAGCATGCAGGCATCAGGAGAGCAGCCCTCAGACATCTGTGGTGAACACTGCTCAGGTTCTGCCTTCACTGTCTGTTTTCTAAGAGCAGCATCCTCTCCACGGGCGACTAGCCTCAGCAACAGTGAAACTGGGCTGCTCAGAACTCTATGACACCCTGATGCCACCTTGCCGGGTTCCTCAGGGGCAGCAGGGAAGATGAGTTATGCCACAGTTTGGGTTGGTACATGCCTTCCCAGATGCCTGCTCTTCCTCACTCAAGGGTTCAGAGATGCCCGCCCTGGGCACTCTTTGAATCTCTGGCACTGGCTTCCCAGATTGTCCCTCTGGACCATTGCCCTAGTCCATCCATGCTCCCTATAGGGACATAGAGCCACATCCCCACATAGAAGATCTAAGCTGGACTTCTCCCTGTCCCCACTGTGGGCCATACAGAGGATCACTTGGGTGGATTCACCCAGGATCAAAAGACTCTGCCTCCAACACTCTGCATCATGGCCACAGCCCAAGATCTGTAGGGCCACCAAAACGACCCTGCACACAGCCCCTGTACTTGGTCCCTACAGAAGAGTCTCTGCAAAATTCCTTGCACATGGTGCCTGCAAAGGTCCCTGTACATGGTTCCTGCAGTGGTCCCTGCACACGGTCCCTGCAATGGTCTCTGAACATGGCCTCTGCAATGGTCCCTGCACACAGTCCTCTGTACATGGTCCCAGCAAGCGGCACCTGCACATGGCTTTCTGCACAAGGTCGGGGCCCACCCCAGCATATCCCTCTGCGCAGCTCCCTGGAGCACACATTCTGTGCAAACCTCAGGCCCCTTGTTCAGGAGGCATCCCCCACTATACATGCTCTTGGCAGAGCACATGGAGTGAAAGTAGAATGGGGAAGCAGGCAGACCCTCCCTCAGTGAGTGCAGCTGGGATGGAGTGAGTCTTCATGAGACAGATGGAGAGAAGGGGTGCAGGCCAGGGCTGAAGTCTCAAATGCCACAGAACAGCAGGAGATAGACCTGTGCCCAGACAGGAGAACCAGTCTTCAGATGCTTACCCTGAAACAGTACTTGGCACCCGCCTAGGGAGGAAGGCAATGCCAATTGGAGGTGATGGTCTGGGCACAGCTGTGAGGAGGACAGTGCTACCCACCTCTGGCATCCCCCAAAAGTTCACGCTGGACTGCTCATGACGACGTTTGTCTGAGGGATACCCCCAGGATCCACATATGGCAGGCTCTGTGCTCTTTAGGGCAAAGGGCACCCCTAAACCCCTAAACATTCTGGGATCATATCTTCACAGCACACAACACTGAAATCTCTCTCAACTAGGACAAGACATATCACTCCTTACACATAGTCTCTGGAATCACTGAGCTAGAGTTAAGATAAAATGATGAGGCAATGTAAAAGAGGGACATTCAAAAATTTCTATTAGCAATTTAAACACTTCTCTCTAATCTCTTTTTAATCAATATGTTTATTAAATCTCCTCTTTATAACAGGAAAAATTTCAGCAATTACTCTTCAATGTTCACAAATCACTAATTAGTGTAGCTTCGCCTTGTAAAGCCTGTCTTTCCTGAAGAAATTTGCCCATGGAGGCAGATAAGTATACACAGAAAGGCACATGTCTTCTGGCCACTTTTAGGGATGTTCTAGGAACCCCTGTCTGCCCCTCCTTCCCTCCCTCCCTCTCTCCTTCTTTCCTTCCTTCCTTCCTTCCCTCCCTCCCTCCCTCTCTCCTTTCCTTCCTTCCTTCCTTCCTTCCTTCCTTCCTTCCTTCCTTCCTTCCTTCCTTCTCCCCTCCCTCTTTCTTTCTTTCTTTCTTTCTTTCTTTCTTTCTTTCTTTCTTTCTTTCTTTCTTTCTTTCTTTCTTTCTTTCTTCCCTTTCTCCTTCTTCCTTCCTTCCTCCCCCAGGTCATGTGGCTGAGGCTCAGCAGTGGGGAACGGGGTGCTCCTGGGCACAGACTAGTGTTCCATGAGTTCACATCAGGCCTTGCTGAGCTACTGCAGGGACACTGTGCCCTCGGCGCCCTCCCCGTGGGGATCAGTGTTCTTGGTAACCCCCTACCCTCACCAATCATGTCGCAGTTACATCTGAGCCACAGTCCATCCCACCTTGGCTGCTGCAAGCACTGCTGCAGCCGGGTACATTCCCACGGGGGTCGGATCCGCAGCAGTTAGGCTTTGTGGACAGGGTGGCCAGACTGCGGGTGCCCGGGCAGGCGGGACTCGGATTCTGGGATCCCGGACTGCCCTAAGCCCCTGGAATAGTGAAAGGGACGGGAGGCTCTTGGGTCCTGCTCCATCAGACCTCAGGTCCTGTCCATCCTTTCCCAGACGAAAGGAGATTACCTCCTGTCTCTGTGCCGGGGAATGGGGGACACGCTGGGGCCGTGGCCTCAGGGCCGGGACACCCTTCTCTGCCCGGGGCACCCCCTGCATCTGCGCCTGGAGGGGACCCGGGGTTCCCGCGCGGGCCGCGCCCATCTTCTCGGGCGACGCCCGGGAGCAGCCTCACCTCTACTCATGACAATCCCCGCCAGCGCTTTGTGGCGGCCGTGCCCCGACGCGAGGCCCCTGGTCAGCTCGCGGAACTTCTGCGCGACCAGCTGCGCCACCGAGTCACCGAATTCCTGAAAGACACAAGCACCGTGCGACCCCGCCGCCACTCAGGCCCCGCCCACGACGCCTGTCCTCGCCCCGCCCACTTCCCTGACCCCGCCCACACCTCAGGCCACGCCCACGATGCCGGCCTGCGCCGACTCCGCCCACCGCTCAGACGCCGCCCGTTTCTCCGACTGCGCCAACCCACCAGACCCCGCCCGTAACTCGTCCACTACGCCTGCCAGCGTAGGCTCCGCCCATTGACCAGACCGCGCCCGCGAACCTGTCCGCGTTGACCCCGCCCATCTTCTGGCCCCGCCCACCAAAACAAGCTCCGCCCACTGCGCCCGACTCCAGGGCCTCATCGCTCCCTCCACTGTGGGTCTCACTCATTCTGCCTCAGAGACGCCCTCTGGCGTCGCCATTGCGGGTGCAGAGTGGCCCCCTGGGGTGAATTCAGAGGTCCCCCTCCAGGTCTGTCCTCCCTACAGGAGTCAAGAGCTCCTACATCCAGGTTATGGTCCACCTTCATGTCTGCCACTTAGCTGTAAAGCCACTTCCACCCCACCAACGCAGGGACAACCCCCCCAAACCACTTCCTATGGCCCTTGCATGCTTTCTCTTGTCCCCTCCCTGCACATAGACACACATAGGCACCACTTGCACACAGACATACACACAGAAACAAGCATACATGTTACATATGCACAAATAAAATGCACATGCACAGAGACACGAGTACGTGCACAGCTCTGTTCCCGCATTGTGCTCAAACCTTGGGACCAGACTGTTGCACTTCCAAGCTGTCTTAACTTCTAGCAGCCAGGTCCTGGGGAGCAGAGGTCTTTCTATGACCTGGCCCTGGGGATTTTGTGGCCTGCTGCCCTGCACTGACTGTGTGGTTATGACTGCCGTGAGTGCTGCCCGGTGCTGTGGGCTCTGGAGGGGCAGTTGCATCTTTGCATGTCCATGATACTTTCAATTGAGTCTACCTCTCACCCAGTCACAGATTCACAGTCTGTCCCCTGCAGCTTGCTCCCTGCCCTGTTTTCTGGGACTCAGGGTGAGGGGGAATCCCCCCCCCCCCACTGTAGTTTCATGCTGCATTTCCCTTGCAATCAGGGTGTTGGTGTCTCTGCACACAAGCTATAGGCATTCTTTACATATATTGGATAGGAATCCTGTTAGATAGGTGGTCTGTAATTGTTTTCTTTTTGGGTCACACCCGGGGATGCTCAGGGGTTACTCCTGGCTCTGTACTTAGGAATTACTCCTGGTGGTGCTCAGAGGGGCCATATGGGATGCCGGGGATCGAACCAGGTTGGCTATGTGCAAGGCAAATGCCCTACCTGCTGTACTAACGTTCTGGCCCCATTATCTGTAATTATTTCCTCCACTCAGGAGGTCCCCTCACTCAGGAGGTCCCCTTTCATCCTGTCCTCCTTACAGGAGTCAAGAGCTCCTACATCCGGGTTACAGTCTACCTTCATGTCTGCCACTTAGCTGTAGAGTCACTTCCACCCTACCAATACAGGGACAATCCCCCCAAACCAGTCAAGAAGGATTTTCTTGACTGCACGGGTTTTTTTTTTTTTGCCTCAATATGGTCAAAATTATTTGTTTTGCTTTGTAGTAGTATCTGGGCTTCTGCAGTCAGATCCAAAAAGCCATCTCTAGGACTCACATGGAGGAGTTTTCTCTGAAGGGCTTCATAGTTGCAGGTCCCGTATTCAAATCTAAAGACTATTTGAGTTAATTTTTGTTTGTGGGGTGAGGTAGAGTTCATCTTTCTTTTGCATGTGGCCAGCACCTTCTACAGTTTTTCTAGCACCTTCTATGAAGAGACTATCTTTACCTACGGTGAATTCTGTGTCATTTGTGATCATTAATTGGCCATATATGTAAGGGTTTATTCTGGGCTCTCCAAGTATGTGTGGGTTTATTCTGGGTTCTCCATTCTGTTCTCCTAGTCTCTGTGTCTGATGCCATTTTATTGTGATACCATACTGTTTTGATGACTGTAGCTTTATAATATTGCTTGAAACCTGGAGTTGGATACTAACATCTTTGTTCTTTCTCCAGATTGCTTCCCTGGATTGTCTTTTGTGGTTTCATGCACATTTAGGATTGCTTGACCTGTTTCTCTGATGCATGGCACTGGTGTTTTGAGATCCACAGCTCTGCATCTCTGTCAGTTGAGGATCTGAATGTCTGAGAAGGTTTGAATCTGCCTGCTCAAGACATGCTTTGAGCACTGATGGTCTGTGGCCCTTAGGACAGAATGTCATCAAACAATGAACATGAGGTACTATCTACATTGCTTCCCGTAGAGCCCTTGGTCTGTTTATAGTGGGTCTGTCCATAGTTGATCCATCCACAAAGGGTTCATTGTGGCAAGTCTTTCCATAGTGCACTGCCAAATGTCCTGGGCTCTGATGGCGGAGCCTTGTGATCCCCTCTGTTGAGGCTCTGAGGCATCCTGGTTGGTCCTGGTGGCTATGGCAAGGCAGGAGCTCCACAGTCAGTTGTTCCAGCCCCCTGCAGGAGGATGCAGGATGCAGTGCTCAGCACAGCTCAGCTGGGTTGCTTGCCTGGCCACAGCACCTGCCGGCTCAAATCGTCCAATGTAGCATTTGAGGGGGCATGGAGCAGCAACAATCAGAACCATAGGGCGTTGTGCTCAGCATCTGCACAGCTGGGTGCTCGCTTCCCTGCTCTCTGGCCTTGAACCCCATATTACAGCTGGCAGAGTGCTCAGGTCTGGGAGCCAGGAGAAGCCATACCTGCAAGAGCTGGTGCCAACACCATCTGTCCTGGGGGTGGGGGACATACTACCTGTCCCCAGGACCAGACTGCCTGTCCCCAGTCCTCATTGCTTATCCCTGAGAGCCAAACTGCCTATTCCCAGGGCCACACTGCCTGCTCCCAGGGCCATAATGCCTGTCCCGGGGCTCACACGGCCTACCCCTGGTGCTATATCGCCTGTCCCCAGGGCCACATTTCCTGTTGCTGGGGCCACATGGCTTGTTGCCAGGGCCGCTGCCCATGTTGGGGCTGTGCATTGTGGCTCCAGCTAGGGAAGATGAACTTCAGCCAGAGCATGAGAGACTCTACAGTACAGCTTCAAGTGGCATCAATAAATAAAATGTGTTCACATTTGCAGTTATGGTCCTCAGGGTCAAGTTGACATTCAGCCAAAGTGAGAGGAATATTAAAATCAATAGATTAGGAAGAAGCAAGTCCTCAGTAAATATTTCCCCTTGAAACCCGGTCTTTGGGTTCATAATGCTGAAATATCAAAAAGGTTAGATTTGCATATGGGGGCAGACTGGATTGAGGGCCTGTGACCCTCCCCACTCTGTGTTGTAGCATATGGTGGTGTGTGGCGGGATCCAGAGTGGAGCGAGGGCTGAGCCCAGCTGGGAGGGGCATGCAGGTTTGGCTGCCCAGGGCCCCCTCACTGGGAGGTGCTTCTTGACGCTTCTTCAGGGCTCAGACTGCAGCCCAGGACTCGGCAGTACCATTTCAGGGCCCGGTGGTCCCAGTCCTTTCTCTAGGAACTGGTGGGGGGCATCTGAAATGGAATGTTGTTCCCTCAGGCCAGGTGTGGGAGTAGAGCCATGCATTGAGTTTCCCTGGTGGAGGCAGACCAGCCATGTCCTGCCTGACTGGGGCCTTGAGGCTGCCATGGTATCTATGGGCTCCTGGGAACCTGCCCTGGGCTTATGTCTATGAGAGACATCGTGCAGACCCTGAGTTGGGGCTAGTGTCCTCATCCAGAAACTTGCCCACAGCTCTGTCTGAGGCAACTCCATGAGGCCTTGTTTCCTGAGATTCCATCAGTGAGGCCATGCCGCCAGAAATGCCATCTGAGGGCCGCCTCCTGGGGAAGCCGGAGAGAAGAGTGTGAGTGCCACAGCCGCCGAGCACAGCACAGGGCACAGGAACCAGCTAACTGGGGCTGGAGCTGGAGCACTGGTTACTCTTTCAACACTGGACTTCAAAACGGAAGCACCACAGAAGTGGAGAAAACAAACTAAAGCTGCGTTAGAAAAATGTAAGCTTTCTGTTTTTGTTAAGCGGGTGCTTTCTGATGTACTCAGGAAGATATTTTGCATCTGGGTTTAATTAGAATCTTTAAATTCTCATTAGTGTGCTAATACAAGCTCGATAACAGATGAGGCCCTCTGTTTGGGTTGATTTATGGTTGTTTGAGTTCATCTGGATTTGAAAAGATGTAAACAAGACGAACCATGTCAGTGCACCCACAGAAAAAGCTTCCCAGTGGAAAAGACTCTTTTTTTCTGGAAGAAAGCTACGTTTACTCCCCAGATTTTGTAAAATTCACTTCCTCCATTTTGTTAAATTTAACAAAATTAGAAAAAAAATAGAAATTTTTTTTGGCCTTCCTCAGACCCAAGTTTAACTAAGGGTTATTGATTTTATCTTTTCAAAAAGATAACTTTTGGTTGGGGCTGGAGAGATGACGCCACATATGCCTCTGAGCACCAGAAATGACCCTTGAGCATAGAGCCAGGAATAAGCTCTGGGCACTGCTGAGTGTGGCCCCAAAATAAAACAAACAAACAAACAAACAAAAAATCCACCAAACAAAAAGACAACTTTTGGTTAATTCTTCTATTGTTTTTCTCATCTCTTTGTGAGTCACTTCAGTTCTGGTTTGTATTCCTTCTTTCTTCTAAGTTTGGCCTAGTGTCATTCTTTTTTTCCTTTTTTCTTTCTCTCCTTTGTTTTTGGGCAATGCTCAGGGGACCCTATGGGATCAAACAGAGTGCGAGGAAAACACTTTGACCCACTTCTTCTTTTTCTGATTTTCTGAGGTGTACAGCCATGATGTCTGTGACCTTCTTCAATGTTGGCAGCTAGCATGAAGCCTTTCCTTTTATTAGGATTGTTTGTGCTGCTTTTCTTCTTATGCTTGTTCATTCTTTAAAACTTCCTTCTTTTCTTCTAAAACATTTTATTGTGATTTAGATAATGTTGATACAAACATTATCTAAATGTGTTA